CAAGAATTTAGTCCGATACTCCTTCACCCCCATCTCCATGCCAGCCGTCCTCTTTGCCTCTGTCTGATCCCCCTTTCAGTGACTGTGGTCCCATCACATTGTCCTTGACATTGCCAACCCTCAGCCACTGAGCAGGCCTTATCCTCTCTGCATTCATTACTTCCCAAGCCTGTAATCCCAGCCCATGTTCTGGGGTCCGTTACCCCACAGAAGCCCACAGAAGTCCCCCGCCCGATCTCCCTACCCGTGTCCGTTTGCCCTCCAAGCTCTGTTTCCTCCTCGCCTCTTCCCCTGCTGAGGACCACAGTCAGCCCTCTGGGTGTGCAGAGAAGGCAGCCACACCCCTGACCATCCGGGAACTTCTGACAGAGCAAATAGTGAAATGACTGAATACAGGATGTGGGGTCAGTGAGGAAGGGCTGGTGTCCGGGGGTCTGGCTTCCTCGGGGCCAGTTCCCTTTCCTGTCCTCGTGTGTTTGATGTTGCTCCCCGTTGGTCCATCTATAGACAAAAGGGATTCTATGTTTATATGACTTACTTTTTTTTTTACAATTGAAAGGATAAAGTAGGTTCTAGTATAATTGTCCCAGAAAACCCTACAGTTTTAGTTAAATTACTTGTTTTATATTATAAAATATATATGGAATGTATTAGATTGAAACTATATGAACTCTGGGAGTTGACTTCTGTTGGGTAGGCTTAGGAAAGGGAAATGTTAGTGGTGAGAACATTAAGATCAACTTCCTTACCAAATTCAAGTACACTACAGTCTTACCTGTAGTCACCATGCTGTACATTAGTTACCAGATCCTGTCTGCAGAACTGAAACTTTTAAACATGACCGGCATCTCCCCATTTCCACCATCGCCCACCCCTGGCAATTACCACTGTCCTCTTTGCTTTTAAGAGTGGGACATTTTGCATTTAGGTGTACTTGAGATCATGCAGTATTTGTTCTGTGTCTGGCTCATTTCACTTAGGATGATGTCATCTGGCTTCATCTGTGCTGTCACCTGAAGAAGGAATTTCCTTTTTAAGGGCTTGAATATTCCATTCTCTCTCCCTGTCTCTCTCCATGTATATCACATTGTTAAATCCATTCATCCTAATCAATCAGTAGGGAAATGATAGATACTGCCTCTTATTTTGTAGAATGTCTTTTTAAAAAATAACACCGGATGGGAGTGAGAATGTGGATAAATTTAAATCCTCATAAATTGCTGATGGGAATGTATAACGTAGCAGCTCGGGAAACCAATGAACAGTTTCTTATAATTTTAAGCAGTTACCGCCTTTTTATAAAGAAAAGAGAATGAAAAATCCCTCTGAATTGTTAGCCAATCTCCATTGTGTGCTTCGCTCCATTCAAATGTAGCTCTTGTCCTACAGAGGCATTAAAAACAGTTGATGGGGGAGAAAGGCAGAAGGAGGGGCCCAGAATCTACCTCCTCAGGGGAATTGTGGGGCCCTTGGTACCAACCCCCAGGGTACTGAGAGTGCATCTCACATCACGTCCCTGAGCGTCCAGCTCCCTGCACCATAACCGCATCGTGGCCACAAGCTAGATACTCAGTGGACACCACAGGGGTGTAGAATCTTCTGTTGTTCCCCTAACACAGGCATGCCCAGACACTGTGCCTCCCCTGCCTTGTGTAAGCTGTAAATGGCAAGTAAAGGAAGAGATGTTCAAGAACACCGAGTGGCGGTCCTTATGGGGGACCAGCAGTTCTGTGTTAAGATAAGATGGTCAGTGCAAGGGGCTCAGGGGAGTGGGGTCTGCATCTCCAGCCCAGTGCTGCTGGGAATGGGCCTGGGCTGGGCAACACCTACACCAGCTGGGCGGGCCTTTCTGGGTCCACATTTCAAACCTGCACAACCATAATGAATTTGGGGGGAACAGCCCCTGGGATCTGTGTGCACCTTAACCTGCGGCAGGATTGCTTAGCTAGCTTCAGAGTTCCCCGTTCCCATTAACATCAGGACCAGTTGTAGGAAACATCACCTGTGCCCCAGCATAGATCCTGTCTGTGGGTCTCGGTGGAAGCAGATGTGGTCTAATGAGGGGCTCCAGGTGTTCCCAAGGGGAAGCGAGGTGGAACCCATGGACTCCTGGAGAATTTAGAAGGGAGTGGTGTTCATGGCAGGAAAAGGCAGGTTCTGCTCCCCAAGAGCTGCAAGGGGCAGGTCAGTGCAGCCCACACCCCCATCAGCCACAGGAGAGGTGAGGTGAGTGGGAGGGGAGGTCCCCCAGGACAGGGAGGAAGGAGCTCAGGGGCTGGTCTCCCCGCAGGGCTCCTCGCCCCCACTTTGCTTCTGAGCCCAAGGACACAAAAGGTGGCCTTCTCAGCATTTCCTGATCCTTCTTTCTGTGGGTGGGTGGAAGCAGCCGAAGAGGCTCTGCTGGTGCCTTTCTGGGCATACTCTCCAGACAGGTGTGACTTCTCCACATGATATAATACTGCCCGAGACAGAAGCCCAGAGCGGGAGGAGGGAGAAATGGCAGCTCCCCAAGGAAGTGTGTCCCAGGGAGCTGTGTCCTTTTCTCTTGACCTATCATTCATTTAGAACTTAAGACCTTTAATTCTCTCTGTCCCATTGTCTTGCCAATGGGTTTCAGCCCCAGGCATGTTCGCTATGGATTCAATGTGACCAAAGAAATTGACATCAGAACGCTCTTTGGGATGAAAGGGTTTATTACCCAGCTTGTTCTCCCCGGGGTAGGCTGAGCACTAGCGTCTCTGCCTCCAGTAGGCCGAGCTCTCTGTATAGCACAATGATGGCTGTTGCCTAAGGTGTGGAAGCGGTAGCCTAGCAACAGGCCAGTTGCATCATCAGGTGGTTTAAGTTCAGTGAGGATCCTAGCCATGGGAACCCCAACTTCCCCACATCCATATTCCTCTGTAATGATGTATTTTCAGCTACTTTTGTTTCTTGTGTGCTTATGACAGTAAGGTGAGCTCTGCAGGGTGCCTCTGTTCCCGTAGGGCATGAGCAACGGTCACCTTGCGTTACTGTCCTGCAAGTATTTGAAGAATTTCCCTTGTCAGATCAAGGGGAAGAAGGTGTTGAATCAGACATTCCCAGGGAGGATGGGATCAGAGCCTGGGGTGTCAGCGGAGGCGGAGAAGTTGCAACTTTAGATCCCATCTGGATGCTCCATCTCTCGGTAGACCAGGTTAAAGAAACAATAAACAGGGTGGGTATGTGGCCCAGAATAACTCAGAAAGTTCTGTGACAAAGCCTTGATTTCAGAGCGAATCCTAATGAAAGACTTGCTTTAGAGATTACAGGACTTTGAAGGTCAATAAAAGTGCTGTTTTCTCTTAATTGGATTCAAATTGCAATAGATTCCCCCCCACCACCACCACCACAGTATCACAACAGTGATGTGTGATGTGACCTGTGGGCCTCAAGCAGCCAGTAGCAAGGTTTGCTATTAGGGCAGATGTTCTAGTCTGTCCACCTGGCTCGGGGGCTCTGGGCCAGATCCTCCCGTTAGTAATTTCCGGTTATCATTCAGGACCTCAGAGGGGTTTGCTGAGAGATGTTCACACTCCACCTCGTTTAGTCTAGGAACTCCCTTCTCAGATTCCCATTGCTTTACTTTGCTTTGTAAAATGAAGGGGGGGTCTCCTTTGTTCCCTGGAGATACTTGCTTTTCAAAGTGGAGGCAGCCTCAGGTATGAAAGTTGCATTTCATTTCCCACTCCAGTCACAGGTCTACTGCTCCTTGTTACTTTTTGAATTGTCAGAGAGAACAAGAACCATATATTTAATATATGTATTAGTGTCTTAAAATTCTAAAACATAACTTGGCACCTATGGTAAGTGTAGCAAAAAATGTCAAGGAGATACACTTAAACAGTAGCTTTGGCTGCTGCTTTTCTGGGCGGTTTTTATCATGTGTGTGGGTTTCCATAGTGTATTTAAAAGGTGGGAAAAGCATCCATCCATGCATGATTATTAGTTTTTGCAATTGAAAATATTTCTTATTTTCTGACAATAAAATTTTCAATTATATTAGTTTTAACATGTATACTTTTAATACATGGATGTGTGTGCAAAATGTAAAAGTCCCCAGATCAGGTGTGTGCTGTTTGGTTCATTTGTTTCTATTCCTGTACTCAGTTTAGGAAATGACTATGAACCATATTTCAGGGTGTCTAGACTGTCAAATCTGTATATTCTTCTTGATAAATTCTAAGTTATTTAAGTGGGTAAAAACCCAAGCTTACATTTACTGGATGTTTAACAAAATATTCTCATAAATGAGAGAAGAGTATTTTTCTCATGGATTATTTTTGTGTATTATGCATAAATTCATGAAAAGCTGTTAGAGAAATATCTAGCATACAGTAAATGTTCTAAATGGATTGCGGGTGTCCTTCTTGCTATGATCTAAGAGACTGCGTTTGCCATAAAATGGTTAGTTCAAAGTCACCCATGAATATTTTCCCGTGGTATTTCACTGCTCTGTAATTAAAACATGTGGCCCCTGGAGGGAGAGTCCTTAGCCATCACTGGTAAGCCTGCTGGAAATGCAGAAACTCAGGACCCACCCGGAAACACCTGACTCATCTGCATTTTAAAGTGAGATCTTTAAAGATCAGGATATCTTCATTGTTCTACATACTAAATTTTGATAGGTACACTTCTAACACACCATGACTTTACCTTTGAGAAATATACACAACTTTACAGGTAAGCTATACATTTAGCACTTAAAAATATACATGCCTGTATGGATTCCTCAATTACGTATTTTATCTCCCATATAATTACAGTGTTTATACTGGTTTTATGGATTTACATCATCCTATTTCCTCAACATTAAAGGATCATTATAGACTATTGTTTGTGTTAAAAATGCTTCAGGTCACTCATACAAGCCCAAACCAGTTATCTTACCTTTCACTCTCATTTTGAGTCATACTATGAACTGTGTTCATAGCCACTTGGCATGTTATTTGTGTTCCTTTGTTATTTTTTTTACATTTCAGGGACTGCTGACCTTCGGGGACGTGGCCGTCAGGTTCTCCCAGGAGGAGTGGGAATGCCTGGCGCCCGCCCAGCGGGCCTTGTACAGGAGCGTGATGCAGGAGAACTACAGCAACCTGGTCTCCGTGGGTGAGAATAAGAGCTTCTTTCCAGAATTCCTAATCCAAATTTAAAGATTTTCTTTTCTTTTCTTTTTTTTTGGTATCATTAATCTACAATTACATGAAGAACATTATGTTTACTAGGCTCCCCCCTTCACCAAGTCTCCCCCACATACCCCTTCACAGTCACTGTCCATCAGCATAGTAAGATGCTGTAAAATCACTACTTGTCTTCTCTGTTGCACAGCCCTCCTGGTGCCCCCCCCCAACATTATACATGCTAATCATAAGGCCCCCTTTCTTCTTCCCCTCCCTTCTACCTCCCTTCCCACCCATCCTCCCCAGTCCCTTTCCCTTTAGTAACTGTTAGTTCTTTCTTGGGTTCTGTGATTTTGCTGCTGTTTTGTTCCTTCAGTTTTCCTTTGTTCTTATAATCCACATATGAGTGAAATCATTTGATACTTGTCTTTCTCCGCCTGGCTTATTTCACTGAGCATAATACCCTCTAGCTCCATCCATGTTGTTGCAAATGGTAGGATTTGTTTTCTTCTTACGGCTGAATAATATTCCATTGTGTATATGTACCACATCTTTTTTATCCATTCATCTACTGTTGGACACTTAGGTTCCTTCCATTTCTTGGCTGTTGTAAATAGTGCTGCCATAAACATAGTGGTGCATCTGTCTTTTTCGAACTGGGCTGCTGCATTCTTAGGGTAAATTCCTAGAAGTGGGATTCCTGGGTCAAATGGTATTTCTAAAGCTTTTATTTTCTTAGTTGATGGAATGGCTCCCGTAAACTTCAGCTTTGTATGAAAGTGTGTCAGATCCTTGAATTCAAGGGGAAAATTGGGGGTTTGTTGCTGTAGAGACAATTTTCCTGATGTATTTTGACTTAAACCTCCCCCCTCTGCAGCAACCTCGTCCTTCAGCCTAGGTTCGTGGTACTTCCTGAGTTCAGGGGCGTAAAGTATGTTCACCCCATGTTCAGTCCTGAACTCCACACTGACGGAGAAGCCGCAGAGAAAACTGAGAAAGAACAAGGTCTTATCTGGGGTCTTGGAATTGCCACTTGGGGAGCACAGATGGAGCAGCAACCAGAATAAGTGTTGCCCCTATGCAGGGAAGCAAGGAATTTGTACGAGAAAAGAGTGGGTGGTGGGTATTTCATGACCTGGATGGGGGAAGACAAGGACATAAGAGCTACCTACTGCCCCTGAGAGGCTGAGCCGCTTCACTAATGCCTTGTTGACTAATGTACTGGCGCCTCCAAGGGAAGCTAGTCACGGAGTCCCTGATAGCTACCCCATTTCTGTAACGTGCATTCCAACAGTTCATTTTTGTGGTCCCTGTTTGTTCAACAAGGTGCCTTGTTATTTATGAGCAGTAACTTGTAAAACTTCTGTTTCTGGCCTAGTTCAAAGGGTCCCGTTGACCACTGTGTCCCGGGTAGTCAGCTCACCTTGTGCTTAGAGGTCGGTGCAGCTTTCGTGCTCTGCTTCCTCCTCCCCCCACCCTGTGGTCCCTGGCAACTACCAGTCTCTTTCAGGTTTTTAAAAAATATTCCACATCATGTAAGTGCCATCTCGTGGTATTTGTTTCTCTCTGGCTTAGTTCGCTTCACATAAAGACCTCAAGAGTTATCCACATGGTCACAAATGGCAGGCTTCCTCCTTGATGACTGACTAGGATTCCATTGTGTGTGTGCACGTGCGTGTGGAGGTGCGTCTCATTTCATGTATCTGTTGGTGGACCCTTGGCTTGTTTCCATGTCTTGGTTAATGTAAACAGTGCAGTGAATATGTGGAGTCAGATATTTCTTTGCAGTCCAGATCTTATCACCTTCAGATACACACCCAGAAGTGGAATTGCTGGATTATATGGCAGTTGTGTTTTTACTTTGTTAAGAGTGCTCCTAACTCTTTTCCAGAGTGACTGCTGCTGTTGACATCCCTGCGGCACTACATGGGCTTGCTTCTTTTATTGGCGCCTCGCTAGTCCTTGTGTCTCTTTGATAGTAGCCATGGGGACAGGTATGAAGAGTTACTACACTGTGGTTTGGACGTACATTACCCTGATGAGTAGCAGTGTTGAACCTCCTTCCATGTGTGTTGGTCATTCGAAATCCCTCTTGGGAAAAGGTCTATATGGGTCTTTTGCCCATTTTTTAACCAGAGTTTTTTCCTATAGGCTTACATGAAATCCTGTGTTTTTAATATTAACCCCTTATCAGATATGTGGCCTGACAATGTTTCCTTACACACTCTAGGTTGCCTGTTCATTTTATTGTTTCTTTAGCTGTTGGGTTGCTTTTGATTTACCAGTCTGACGTGGTCCTACTTGTCAGTTTCTGAAGCTTGTGTTTTCTGGTGCCATATCTGAAAAATCATTGCCAAGATCAATATCAAAGAACTTTCTCCAAATCTTTTCTTCCAGGAGTTACATGGTTTCAAGTCTAAATTTAAGTCTTCAATACATGTCAGGGAAAATTTTTTTTATGAGTAGGTTAAAATAGGTCTTCAGTTGCATTCTTTTACATGTGAATATCCAGTTTTCCTTGTGACATTTATTGAAGAGATTCTTTTTTCTTCATTGAGTATTTTGCATCCCTTATCAAATATTAGTTGAGTGTCTCCACACAGCCTTATGTTTGGGCCTCAGTTCAGTTCCATTAACATGTATGTGCTTTCCAGTTTTGAGAAATTCACATGCATCACTGTTCATTTAAGGTGTACAGAAGGATGGTTTTATTGACATATTGTGAAATGATTAGCACATGTTAGGTAACATCTATCTTTAATATATTTAATAAAAAGAAAAGAATAAAGAAGGAAAAAAAATTTCCTTCAGTGATGACCACTCTCAGGATTTCCCCTCTTAACTCTCCTAGCATTGAGCAATGTGAGCTGTAGACCTCATGCTATATGTTTCTTAGTTCTCATTTATCTTACAACTGCCAAGTTTTTAACTTCTGTCCACCTTCTCCCAGTTCCCTCTGCCACTATCCTTTGTCTCCAGTCACCACTAGTGTCTTTTTTCTGTGAGTTTGTTTTCAATTTCACAGGTAAGTGAGATTATATAGCATTTGTGTTTCTCCAGCAGTTATATATATATGTGCCTTCAAGGTCCACCCATAATATCGTAAATGTTAGGATTTCCTTTTTTTTAATAGCTGAATAGTACTCCTCTTTATATATGTATCGCAACTTCTTCATCAATACATCTGTTGATGGACATTTAGATTTTTTTCATGTGTATTGAAAATAATGCTGCTATTAACATGGGATGTTGCTGATATTTACAAATTAGTTTCTCATTTGTATATTTTCCCAGAAGTGGAATTGTTCGTTGATAATGTAGTTCTTTTAAATTTTTATGCTTGTGTTTTCTGGTGCCATATCTGAAAAATCATTGCCAAGATCAATATCAAAGAACTTTCTCCAAATCTTTTCTTCCAGGAGTTACATGGTTTCAAGTCTAAATTTTAAGTCTTCAATACATGTCAAGGAAAATTTTTTTTATGAGTAGGTTTAAATAGGTCTTCAGTTGCATTCTTTTGCATGTGAATATCCAGTTTTCCTTGTGACATTTATTGAAGAGATTCTTTTTTCTTCATTGTTCATTGAGTATTTTGCATCCCTTATCAAATATTAGTTGTCTCCACACAGCCTTATGTTTGGGCCTCAGTTCAGTTCCATTAGCATGTATGTGCTTTCCAGTTTTGTTGAGAAATAATTCACATGCATCACTGTTCATTTAAGGTGTACAGAAGGATGGATTTATTGACATATTGTGAAATGATTAGCACATGTTAGGTAACATCTATCTTTAATAGATTTAATAAAAAGAAAAGAATAAAGAAGGAAAAAAAATTTCCTTCAGTGATGACCACTCCCAGGATTTCCCCTCTTAACTCTCCTAGCATTGAGCAGTGTGAGCTGTAGACCTCATGCTATATGTTTCTTAGTTCTCATTTATCTTACAACTGCCAAGTTTTTAACTTCTGTCCGCCTTCTCCCAGTTCCCTCTGCTACTATCCTTTGTCTCAAGTCACCACTAGTGTCTTTTTTCTGTGAGTTTGTTTTTAATTTCACAGGTAAGTGAGATCATACAGCATTTGTGTTTCTCCAGCAGTTATATATATATGTGCCTTCAAGGTCCACCCATAATATCGTAAATGTTAGGATTTCCTTTTTTTTAATAGCTGAATAGTACTCCTCTTTATATATGTATCGCAACTTCTTCATCCATACATCTGTTGATGGACATTTAGATTTTTTTCATGTGTATTGAAAATAATGCTGCTATTAACATGGGATGTTGCTGATATTTACAAATTAGTTTCTCATTTGTATATTTTCCCAGAAGTGGAATTGTTCGTTGATAATGTAGTTCTTTTAAATTTTTAAGAATCCTTCCAATTTTTTCCATAATAGCCATAAGAGTTTACAATCCCACCAGCAGTGAACAGGAGTTCCCTTTTTTCATATCTATACCAGGCTGTTAGCTCTTGTCTGTTTGATGATGGCCATTCTAACAGGCTTGGCGTGCTGTCTCATTGTGGTGTTAATCTGCATTTTCCTATCATTGGTGATGTTCAGCATCTTTCTTTTAATTGCTGGCCTTTTTTAAATCTCTGGAGAAATGTCTGTTCAGGTCTTTTGCCTGTTTTTTATTGGGTCATTTCTCTTTTTGCTATTGAGTTGTATGGGTTCTTTATATATTTTGGATATTGACCCCTTATCAGACAGAATGTTTTCTAGTAGTTTTTCTCATTCCATAGGTTGTCTTTTCACTTTGTTGGTGATTTCTTTTGCCATGGAGGTGCTTTTTTGTGGGATGTAGTCTCATTTGTTTAATTTTGCTGTTGTGGCTTGTGCTTTAGGTGTCATATCCAAAACATAGCCAAAATCCGTGTCAAGGAGCTTCTTTCCTTTGTTTTGTTACAGGAGTCATAGTCTCAGACCTTTTATTTAAGTCTTAAATCCATTTCAAGTTCATTTTTGGGAATGGGGTAAGGTCTTGGACTAGTTTAGTTCTTTTATGTATGAATATCCAAGTAGACAGCAACATTTATTAAAGATTATCTTCATTGAATATTCCTGGCACCCTTATCAAATAGTAGTTGATCCAGCATGGTTCCATTTGTATCTGGGCTCTGGATTCTGGTTCATCGGTCTGTCTGTCTGTCCCTGCCGGTACCATACTGATCTGGTAACTAGCTTTATCATACACCTTGAAATCAGAGTGTGGTGACTCCTGTTTAGTTTTTCTTTCTCAGGATTTCTTTGGCTATTTGGGGTCTTTTGTGGGTTCTCATAAATTTTAGGATTGTCTTTTCTAATTACAGAAATGATCCTGGAATCTCCATAGTGATTGCCTTGAGTATGTAGATGGTGTTTGGACGTATTGACATTTTTAAAGTATTAATCCTTCCAGTCCATGAACATAGGATACTATTCCATTTACTTTTGTCTTTGATTTATTTCATCAATTGTCATATTATGGTTTTCAGAAAAGAAATCTTTGGCCTCCTCAGTTCAATTTATTCCTATGTATTTTATTATTTTTGATGCTGTTATTAATGGGATCAGTTTATTTCCTTTTCAGAAATACAGTGTTTCACACTTCTTTAGTATAGTGTTTGTGTGTGTGTGTGTGTGTGTGTTGGCCTTACAGGAAAGGGTTTATAAATAATCCCTCTGCTTAAGTTTCAGAAGATTGTAGGGAGAATGGGTGTTAATTTTTCTGTCAGTATTTGATAGGATTATCAGGTGAAGCCATGCCCAATTGAAAAGGAGTCTCTTGGGAAGTTATGGGATGCTGTTTTTAATCTCTTTTCTGGTATATTCATGTATTTATGTCTTCAAGATTCAGTCTTAGTTCTTTGTTTTTGGAATTTTATTATTTGTTTTAATTATCCGATTTTTTGGCATATAGTTTTTCTAAAAAAACTCCAGTGTCCATTTTTATTTTGCCTCAGTTGTGTTGTCTCATCTTTAACCTCTGATTTTGGTTGAGTCTTCTCCAGTTTATTTTTGTTAATTTATATAAGGATTCTCAGTATTGATTTTTTTTTTCAAGAAGCCACTGCCAGATTCATTATTTTTTCTTCCTACTGATTTTCTATTTTCCATTTCATTTATTTCTGCCTAACGTTGTTTATTTATTGTGGTGAATTTGAACTTAGTTGTTTTTTTCTAGTTTCTGATGTGTAGAATTAGGTTGTTGATTTGAGATATTTCTCATTGTTTAATATAAGCACCCATCGATACAAATTTCCCTGTTTAATATTGGTTTCTCTCTATCCCGTATGTTTTAGTATGTTGTGTCTGCTTTCATTTGTGTCAAGATGTGCTCTAATTTTCTTTGCCTATGTCATCTCTGAACATTGGTGGTGTAAGAGCATGCAGTTTACTTCCTGCAGTACTATGGACTCCCCCATTTCTTTCTGATATTGTTTCTACTTTCAGTCTATCATGGTCAGAAATGATACTACTGTTTTTATAATTTGAAGTTTCTACCTCTCTATCCCCTTCCCCTATTTCACCCATACTCGTGCCCCTCACGTCCCACAAAAGATACCAGTACTCCATCGTCTCTGTTTTTGTGTCTACTTCTTATGTTTTGTTTCTTCCATCACACATATATGTGAAGTCCTAAGGTAACTGTCTTTCAAATGTCTGGCTTACTAGTTAGCATAATGCACTCTTTGTCTATCTGTGTTGTTGCAAATGGCAAGATTACCTTCATTTTCATAACTGAGTGATCTATTCCATTATAAATATACCACGTCATTATCCACTCATTTATTGTTGGATATAGGTAGCTCTCATGTCTTGGTTATTGTAAATGATGCTGCAATAAACCAACAGGTCCATGTATCTTTTCAAGTTGTTTATTTTATTCTCTTTTGCAGATTCCAAGTAGTGGAATTGATGTTCATGAAGTGTTTCCTGCCTTTAGTTTTTTGAGAAATCTCTGTACTGCTTTCTGTTGTGGCTACACCAATTTGCTCTCCCACCAGAAGTGTAGGAGGTTCCCTTCTACTACATCCTCAACACCACTTATTATGTCTTGTATCTTTGATATTAGCCATTCTGACTGGAGTGAGGTGACAGCCCTGATGATTAGTGAAGTTGAGCATCTTTACATATGTCTGTTGGCCATCTGCGTGTCTTTTTTGGAAAACAGTCTATTCAGATCCTTTGGCCAGTCTCTAGTTGGATTACTTCTTTTTTTTGTTCTTGACTTGAATGAGTTCATTCTGTATTTTGGATATTAGGCCCATAGGAGATAAATTATTTGCAAATTCATAATCCTGCCCAGTACATTTTCTTTTAATTTTATTGACTTTTTTTGTTTACTCTTCAGAACCTTTTAATAATCCCACTTTCTTACTTTTTTTAATTTCGTTTCTCTTGCCAATAGAAGATATATCCAGAAAACACATTAGTCATGTTTATAATGAACAGTTAACTGCCCTGTTCTCTTTTTGGAGTTGTATGGTTTCAAGTCATATATTTGAGCCTTTTATAATCCAGTTTATTCTTTTGAATAGTATAAAACAGTGATGTCAGTTCATTCTTTTGCATGTACTGTCCAGGTTTCACAACACCATTTACTGAAGAAATTGTGTCTTCCCCATTGTATATCTTGCTTCTTCTGTATATTAACCCAGCGTGTAAGTGCCACACACAGGACGCAAGTAGAGCGCAGGAGTACAGCCAGTGAGCGCTGTGATGGCTCGGCTTGGCGGCCGAGGGAAGGTGCGCTACAGTGGTGAGCATCTGGTCGCGTCCGTGTGTGTCAGGCCGCTCTGTTGTGCATCTGACATCAGTGCAATACTGCATATGAATTATACTTTAGTGACAATACCCAAAAGAGACATGTTACTTTTTGTAAGATGTGTATTTTTCTAAAATTACTTAGTCTTAATTTGTGGGCTGATGTATCATCTGTCCTCCATCATGTGCCATTTGACATCGAGAGGACTGTTTTTTGTGCTCTTTGGTGAGGTTCTGCATCTTTATTATATCTAATTACCCTCTTTTGTTCTTCAGTCCTCTTGTCTCCTTATTGATCTTCCTCCAGGTGTTCTACCCATTATTGAAAGTGGGATATTGAATTTTCATTATTATTTTGTTCCTGTTTGCTTAGTTCAGTCACTATTTGTTTCCTTTGTGTAGACGCTCCGATACTGGATGCAGAACGACTTACACTTCGGATACTTCCCTGTGACTGTCTCATTGATCGTTACGTGATGGCTGTCACTGTCCTGTGATAGTGTTTTGCAAAGTCAGTTTTAACTGAAATGGCCACTCTTCCAACCTCATGGTTACCTTTTGTATTGATTATCATTTTACATCTTTTTCTAGATCTACAGTGAGTCTTGCATAGATAACATGTATTTGGACCTTGTCTTCTTAATCCACACAGCCTCTCTTCCTCTTTTCTGTGGGATTTTAGCCCCTTGAAACTTAATTAATGAAGGGGAGGCAAACGTGCTCGTTGCCTTTCTGTAAACTTACTCTGTGTGTGTTCTGGGCTTCTTTTCCATGTTGTCTGCCTTTGCTTCCCTTGTGTATAGGGATTTTTTCTACTGTCATACTTTTTTTCCTGTCCCATTTCTATTTGAGCATTTTCCATGTGTTTTTTCTTGGGTATTACATAACATATTTTAAGTATATAGCAATCTCTTAAAAAATAGTAATAATTTCAGGTAGCAAAAGTATTCCGATATGCATGCTGCCCAACACCTAATAGTAGCAATGGCACATTGTATCTTCTTGCAAATGCATTAAGTGATTCATGAGTATTAAACTTGATGCCAGTATTGGAAGTATTTGCTGCTTAAATATAATGATATTACAAGTGTCAATATGTGTGCATGTATTTACCATCAGCAGAGTGACTTTAAAATTGAACTACATTATACAATGTTACTTCCTTCAGGTGTAGAACAGTTGTGTAGATTACTAAATGTTCAGTGAAATATATGTACAGTACAAATTTTTATAAGATTTATAAAGTATGTTTGACTGATTCTTATGGGGTAATTTGATATTTTTATATATTTCAGCACTTTCTTCTCATTATAAAAAAGGATTGTTACTCCAGCAAGCCATAAAAGACTCATTCCGAAGAGTGCTCCTGGGAAGATGTGGGAGCTGTGACCCTGGGGACTCACACCTGAGGACACACAGTGACGGTGAGGCTGAGCGTGGAGGGCAGGACGGCCATCACGGAGGAGTGCAGAGCCACGGGAGGAGCCCCCGGGACAAGCCCCTCCCCGTCTATGGGGACCCGCAGCCTGGGGTGACTCGGGACAAAATCCAGTGCAAGTCAGTTACTGTTGCAGAAGAACGTGTTTCTGTGAGTAAATGTCATCATCCAGTTTTGAAATACAACTTTGCTCAGAAGGAAATCTTGGAAAACCTTAAAACTGAGGAGGACCATGGTGCAAGTAATAGTTTCAATCATTTTAATCACAGCAGTGCATTAGATACACATTCCTGTACTTCTGAGGACCAAAGCTGTAATGAAGAAAAAATGTGTAAGTACATTGAATTTGAAAAATCCTTGACCATGGATTCATTATTCTTCCATGAGCAAGTAATTCCTGCTCATGCTAAAACTTGCAGTTTTAATAACTATCAGAGAGACTATATTCGCCCATCCTTACTTAATGAATGTCATTGTATAGACAGTGAAAAAGAACCTTATGTGTACGGTAAAGCTAAGCAGGCCTTTAGGAAGGGCTCTCTATTAAATAATCGTCAAGATAGTTACATTCAAGAGAGAACATGTCGATCTACAGAACCTGGAAAACAGTGGAACAGAGGATCAGTACATAGAGATCAGAGAACTCAGATTCCAGAAAACCATTACCCACGTAACAAATGTGGGCAAGTGTTCAAGGAGTGGTCAGACTTTATTCTGCAGCAGTGTATCCACATTGGAGAGAAGTCTTACAAATATAAAGAATGTGGCAAAACTTTTAAACATTTCTCAAAAATGATTAAACATGAGAGTATTTGCACTGGTGAGAAAAGTTGCAAATGTAAAGAATGTGGGAAAGGCTTTCTTCAGTCTTCCCAACTAAAAAGTCACAAGAGGGTCCCTACTGGAAAGCGGTCATATAAATGTAAAGAGTGCAGCAAGTCCTTCACTAGATCCTCGTATCTTCAGGTGCACGAGAAAGTTCATACAGGAGAGAAGCCTTACAGATGTAAAGAATGTGGAAATGCCTTTAGGTGGTCCTCAAACCTTACTCGGCATCAGAGAATTCACTCGAGGCAAAAACTATACCAATGTAGAGAATGTTGCAAATCCTTTACTTCTTTTTCACGTCTTAATGTGCATGAGAGAATTCATAGTGGAGAGAAGCCTTTTAAGTGTAAGGAATGCGGAAAAACCTTTAAGTGGGACTCACACCTTAATCAACATAAGATGATTCATTCTGGACAAAAACCTTACAAATGTACAGAATGCAGCAAATCCTTTTCTTGTTCCTCAAGTCTTAGTGTGCACCGGAGAACTCATACAGGAGAGAGACCGTACAAGTGTAAGGAATGTGGCAGAACCTTTCAGCAGAGCTCACACCTTACTCGGCATCAGAGAATTCATTCTGGACAGAAACCTTACAAATGTAAAGTATGCAGAAAATCCTTCAGTTGTTCTTCAATTCTTACTATGCATGAGAGAATTCATACGGGAGAAAAACCTTACAAGTGTAAAGAATGTGGCAGAGCCTTTAACTGGAACTCACAATGTAATCGACATCAGAGAACTCATTCTGGGCAGAAACCTTATAAATGTAATGAATGCGGCAAATACTTTAGTTCTTCCTCATATCTTAAAGTGCACCAGAGAATTCATACAGCAGTGAAACCTTTCCAATGTAAAGAATGTGGCAAAGCCTTTACTTATTCCTCAAGGCTTAAGGTGCATGAGGGAATCCATACTGGAGAGAAGCCTTACAAGTGTAACGAATGTGGAAAAGCCTTTAGGTGGGATTCACACCTTAATGAACATCAGAGAATTCATTCTGGACAGAGGCCTTTCAGATGTAATGAATGCAGCAAATCCTTCAGAAGTTCCTCAAATCTTTATGTGCACCAGAGAATTCATACTGGGGAGAAGCCTTACAGTTGTAAAGAATGCAGTAAAGCCTTTGTACAGGTCTCCCACCTTGCTAAACATCAGAGAATTCATTCTGGACAGAAACCTTACAAATGTAAGGAATGAAGCATATCCTTTACTTGTTCCTCACATCTTACTGTGCATCAGGGAAATCATACAAGGTAGAAACCTTAGAAGTGTAAACAATATGCTAGCTTTTATGCAGACTTTACAGATCACCAAAAATCACAGAATGCATTGTGGACAGAAATCATACAAATGTAATGACTGCAGCAAATGTTTTTAATTTCCTTAAAAAATTACTCTATGTCATAGAGATTTTATACTGGAGAGAAACCTTAACAAATGAAACAATGTTGGAAAGCCTTTAACCTGTGCTGAAGCATTACTGCACCCCATAAAACTCACACTATGGAGAAACATGTTTTGTCCACTGATGTAGGACAGAGGTTTGTGTAAACTGTACGTGTAGAGAGCATGAAAGTTTTCAGATGGGTGGAAACAATCTACAAATTGAAAGACAGTGACAAAGCTGTCAAGTCTTCCTCCCACATGGTACATAAGGAAATTCGTGGTGGAGAAAAGGTACCAGTATGCTTAATATGGAAACACCATTGTCCAAGAAATAGACCTCAAAATCATGACAGTCTTCATAATGGAAAGAAACTACAGATGAAAATACATTAGAAAATATTTAAGTGAAAATATAAATTTACCAGGAAAGATTTGCGTAAGAAAGCAGTAAGATATCAAATTTTTTAGTGGTTACCTTCAGAGTTATTTGTTATAAAAATCAAAATTTATAGCAATTAGATAATTCAATTGGTAATTTGTGTGAGTAAAAAGGGGCACATATTTTGGATTCTATACTATCCTCCACCCCCCACTGCAGACACAGATGCAAGCCCAGGCAGTTAACCTGTCTTCTGACCTGTGTACAGATTGGGGGTGCCCATGACCACCTCCTTGGGCTTGATTTATTTGTTAGAGTGGCTCACGGATATCAGATCCACCTGCTTTTATGGCTGTATCCAGGTCTGACCCCACCCTGGTATCTCTCCTTGCTGAAAATATTAGATGTGAAAAGGGGTTTGTTTGCCTGTCCACCCAAAGTCATTATTGACGCAAATGTTGCTGAATCCCAAAAGCCAATATAATGGAAGCACAGAGCTGTTTTGGTGACTTAATTTCTGTCTTTCTCATTAAATCCTGTGCTTAAGAGCCAGCCCATCCAGCACCCTGCCCTCTGGTCTGCAGATCCAGTAGTGGCTCAAGGTTTACAAAGAAAACATGTATGTACATGGTGAAATAACTGCCATGGCCAAGCTAATTAACATCTGTCATCTCACATTGTTGAGATTTTTATAAAGATGATGTTACTGGGCAGTGGCCCAGTTCCAACATAACTTCGTTCTTTGTTGCTTGAGATGCCAAAACTCCAGAGACAACTGTTGGTGCAAAGGCGGCTTTGTTCAGGAAAGCCGGCGACCGAGCGGGTGGGGACAGCCTCCCAGGGACACCTACGCAGCACCAGCACTGTTCGGAGGGAGAACGTTTGGAAGGGGAACTTCATGGAACAGGAGGGGCGACAGGCAGAACTGACAGTTAATCAGTGTCTGCACCAGCCTGAGGGCAGATTGCTGGCGTCTAGGAAACTGCTTCAAAACTGCCACTTCTCTGGTTTCCAGGCATGGTGGGTGGCATTCTTGAAACTCAGAGAGTTCTGGTTAGTGTTTTATAAGACCCCAGAAAAGAGCATGGAAGAGGTTTGACATCTTAGCTTATTTTTAAAATGCACTGAATTAGGCTTTGTTAGGGCCTCTAGGGTCCAATACACTATTACGAACTAGATATACCGTGCTGTACATTAGATCTCCAGAATTTATTCATCCTCCATAAATAACCTTTTCACCATTTGACCAGCTTGTCTCCATTTCCCCCACCCACAGCCAGTGGCACCCAACACTCTAATCTTCACCTTTACAAGTTCACCTTTTTTAGGCTTCACACATACGGGATTCCATGCAGCATTAGCTTATTTCACTAAACATGTGCTGTACATCCTCATTGTCACAAATGGAAGGGTTTCCTTGTTTCTTAAGGCTGGGTGATGTACCATTGTATTTTCTTCATTTATTTGATGGGGAGCAGAGTACATGCCCCAAAAGCATGCTAATTTGCAGGTGGATTTTTTTGAGCTAAAGGCAGTTAGGACCCAGCCAACTCAGAAAAGATATTTTTACTCAGCTGCCACAGGGGCCAAGGGCGGACAGCCCCCTAATGTGCCACTTTGGCATATTGACTACTTTGAATTAAAGCTAACAGAGAAAAAGCAGGTGCAAAGAAACTCTGACCCTCCTTGTCCCCCTGCAACCAGGAAATAAATCTCCCATGGGAAAGATACCCTCCCTGCCACCTGGAGGGTAGAAGGCATCCTGATCGCCAGAGGCAGAAATTCAGTGCTGAGAAGTTTACACGAGCCAACCACATTGCTTGTTTACTATATACCATCCCAGGCCAAATGCCCTTCAGATTTATTTACTAGTATCAGCAAGCAAACAAATCTTGTCCTGCCAATTTGGCTCACATTTATTATTCCTTTGTCAAAGATGTATAAAAGCTGCCTGCCCTGGTCATTCTTTGAGTCTCAGTTTCATTATTGGGCTTTGGTATGTATGTAATTAAACATTGTCTTTTTGTCTCATTTCATCTCGTATCAGTTTGATTCCTAGCAGCTAAAAAAATGTTGAAGGGTAGAGGAAAACTCTTCCTCCCCTACACTGCCTACAATTATTTAGAGAGGGGGGCTTCTACCAGGAAGAGAACTCTTAGCAGACAAAACTTGTTATTTCAGAAAGGCTTACCTGCATGGCATGGCAAATACTGACCAACAATTGGCTCCTGCCATCGTCCTGTGAATTATCATACAGCTTTTTGAAGGCCCAGACTTCTACCCTCTTCATAGGAGATGATGACATAATGAACCTCAATTTCCTGATGGTCTCTGATCCTCATATCTTTGGGGACCTTGTATGTATAAAATTAAACTTGTTTTTTCAACTGTTTTCCTATGTCAATTTAATTAGTAGACCATCCAAAGACCCTTGGAATGAAGGGAAAACTTTTCCTTTGTAAAACATCCATCCCAGTTAGGAAAACTGTATTGAGACCACTACAACAGAGAGGTCCTTCGTTTCACCAGGAGAAAGAATTCAAGAATGGACATAAAAAGGAGGTGAGTATTAAGAGTTTATTTAGATAATAAAATTTTAAAGAAAAAGTGACAGTACATGCCCGCGATTTAGACACAGGCAGACCCAGAGTGGTATGTGCTGAGGAAATCATACGGAGCTATTTTTTTTTGTAAAGAGAAGATAATAAATGAGTAAGGATTCGCTTATAAAGGCAACAGTGGGGTCTCGTTTGAGTTGGGGCTTGCTCCACCTCATTAGGTGGAGATTTTGACTTTTTCTCACTGGAACTTGCAAGGTGTGGGTGTTACAAAGGCATAAAACCTAAATGTGGTTAATTCCCACCAGGAAGTTTAAACATTTTTACTGTAAGGTATTGAAAGACCGTGTGGTAGAAAATATGCCAGGAAGCTGCTGAAGCTGGGTGGGGGTGGGGGCGGGGCAATTGGTAAGGACCTGGCTATACCTGTTTGGGTTTTTTAAACCTACTAGTGAAATTAAGACAAATGTAAGAGAAGGCCCAATGTGGATATAATTGGCTTAGGTGACTTCCAGAACCCTGTAGTACTCAGCCAATGAGGAACCAGGGAAGGGACTCGCGTACTAGAGAATAAATCACTTGCCCCAACTGTCCCAGGTGTGCCCGCTCACCAGACACCCTATCCTGCAAGACCGTCATTGAAGCCCTGTTCCGCTGTTCTCTTTATCTCTGTGTCCACTTACTGAGTTTGGAACAGTGAGTGTGTTTCTCACAGTAGAGAGGTTTCATTCTTACTATGTTAGTGAGTACATGTGTTTTAGGATGAAATTTGGATCAACCAATCCGTTTTGGAACCAGCAGGTTTTCGCTGGTGTTATCTATACCCTCACTACCCACTTCCTGCAAGGACATTTTACAGGGATGGAATGTGTAGAATGTTGGCATCCAGCCCGATGTAACCACTGGTGGAAGTAGCCCCTCCCATCGCTCCTCCTGTCTGGTTGCTATGCTAACGAGACCATATTTGTAGTGAGAAAACAGTATGTTCCAAATCGGATAAAACTTAAAAACCCTGTGTGGATAAAATGAGAGTTCCTGTGGCCAGGATTCTCACCTGGCCCTGGTTGACTAGCTCACTGCACACCTGTGGGCAATACATGGCTGTTGACTCTATATGAAGAGCTCCGCCCAGTGCTCAGGGTGTGACACGGTGGCAGGGCTGCGAGGCTGCAGTGGTGGCAGCGCCGAGGACAGAGGCCCCGGGGACGGCTGTGCAGGCAGAGGGGCCCAGAGGCAGAGACGGGCTTGCTGCCTGCAGACTCGCTCTGTGTGAACAGGATTCTAGTGACTGACCTGCCCCCTGGAAATAAAGTTGGTATAACCCTTTCACCCCAAGGACGTTTTGCTGTCAATTTCTTTGGTCACATTGAATCCACAGTGAAGTTGCCCCGGGGTGAAACCCATTGGCCAGACTGAGGGATACCCAGGATGGGGAAGGCGGTTCAAGAGGTCAGGAATCGGTGAGGGTGTCAACACAGGGAAGCCAACGAGTCGGAGAGTCCCGCTGAGACTGACACGCCTTGGTTGCCCGGGGTTTACGCCCGGCGGGCAGTGTCAGCCCCCCTGGGGTCACCGCTACAGACCCCTGACCCTGGACAGCGCCCGTCCCTAACGGACCCGAGCCTCCCTGGTTCCCCGCCCTCCCTAAACCTCAGGGGGCGGGGTCCCAGGCCGCTTCCGGGGCTGCGGGTGCGCGGGGAGACGCCGGCCCAGCTGCGCGTGCGCGGCTGTACGTCCGGCGGGGAGGGCGGGTCCCGCTCTTGTTTCCGGCGGGAGGCGCGTGTCCTGCAGTGGGGGCGGCGCGGCCGTGGGCCCTCTTCCCGGAGCTCCCCCTCCGCGCGCCCGGTGAGCTTGCTTGTCCCTGCGGGGCGGAGCCGGTGCCCGCGGTCCCTGAGCCCCGCGCTCACAGCGCCCGGTGGGGGAGGAGCCCGAGCAGCCCGAGGCCGAGGCGGAGATGGCGGCCGCCCAGGTGAGGGTGCGTCCGGCTGGGGCTGGGCCCGCTTTTCCCCCTGCGCTGCTCTAAGTTTAGAACAGGCGCTCGGTTCCTTCTCTGCTTCTGCCGTCCTGCCTTCCGTGTGTGCTCACCTGCTCTGAAACCTCTTTAAAAATGCACCTCAGGCTTAGCTGTGTGGGGACCGGGGGTTGGCCACCCAAGATGTGCCACTGGGACATGCAGATTATCCTCAGTTGCCAAATCAGGAAGGCACAAAATACTTAATTAGAATCTTTAACCTACAACCCCACAACTGTGTTAAAAGAGTTAAGCCAAGAGTAATTACTCCAGGAGGAGAGAGATCACCCTACATGACTATATATAATGTAATCTGGGAGGAATGTGGATGAGTCTGATGTTGAGCTACATAGTCTAATTAAAGCTTCATTGCTGCCATTTAATGCCTGTTCATAAGAATACCCTTCTCCTTATAGATGATTTTTGTGTTTTTTTCTTGCATTAATTAATGAACAGCTGTTAGAATGATGCCTAGTAATAATAAATGCTCACTAAGGATTATTTTCATTTTATTAGTATTATATTAGAACCTGAAATTTCCAGGAAATTGTTCCACAAGTTCCCGGGAGTCCTACCACTCTGTTATTCCAAATAGACCGGTGTTCCTGGCCTTTGTTAGAAATGCAGGCTCAGAGCCCAACAGGGAAATCTTGAATGAGCAGCTGCATTTTTAGATCTCCAATTCCCTGTAGTGAAATTATCATTCACATTAGAATGTGAGGAGTACATTTCTAAGTAACCTAAATTTACCATCTAAGATATGGACACAAGTAAATCTGTAGGCTGTAAATACAGCACTTCTTAGAAAAGAGCATAAAACCTAAGTGTGATTTATTACCACCAGGTGGATTAAACATTTTAACAGGAAGGTATTAACAAAGGGCTACATGGTGGAAAATGTGCCAGGAAGCTTCTCAGGCTTAGAGTGGGGGTGGGAGGGAATTGATAAGGGCCTGACTATATCTGTTTGATTTGAGTTTTTTAAACCTACCAATAAAATTAAGAAAAATACAAGGGAAGGATATAACTGGCTTAGGTGACATCTGGGAAAGAATGTGAACCCTGCAGTACTCAGCCAATGAGGAACCAGGGGAGGGGCTTGCATACTAGGGAATAGATTACTTGCTCCACTGCCCCATGTGTGCCTGCCCACCAGACACCCAATCCTGCAAGACCGTCATTGAAGCCTCGCTCCGCTGTTCTCTTTATCTGTGTCCACTTACTGGGTTTGGACCAGTGAATGTGTTTCTTACATTTTGGGGTCTCATCCGGGATCCTCTTGCCTGGCGAGGTGGGGTCCCAAGTGGAGTGGGAAGATGTGTCCCCCGGGCTTTGGGCGGCCCGCACTGTCTGGGCGTCTCACCTTTGCACTGAATCCGAGAGAAGGCCTGAGACTGTTGGGAGGAGACAGCGTGACCAACGCAGGCACTGCGGCAACCAGGCAACCTCGTGCCCGAGCCAAGGTAGGAAAATTGGGCCGTAAGTACTGCCTTGGTGGTCGGGCGCCTTCCGGAGGTCGGGTGTGTGCGGCTAAGACGTGTCCTAGATACGAAGCGAGTGTGGAGTCCCGACCCGCGGTTCCATTCTCCCGCAAGGGAGACAGCCAGAGATGGACGGAGGGGATCCCAGGGTGCGTGCAAGAAGCCTCCATTATGGGGAGCTGAGTACACAGGGAACTCGGACACAGGGACCTCCCGAAAGGTGGGAAATACAAGTTCTAGGCCCAGGGAAGCAGGGAAAGGGAACCGGATGAGCTCCCCTGAAATCCCCCCAGAGAGCCTGCTGGGGTGACGGTTAAGTACTGGGGGGACGCTGCCTGTACCAGGGCTAAGGACAAACAGAAGGTGGTCAAACTTTGCTGTTTTGTCTGGACTAAAGCACCGATCCCTAAGCCATCAATTTTCCAGCCGCAGTTTGGATGGGATGAAAACTGGCTTTGCCAGGCTCCAGTGCTTTGCGAGCGCCGAAGCCTCCAGCTGCCCGTGGGGCGGGGACTGCGCCCTCTGCTGGTCACCCAGGGCGCTTCCCGTATTTCCCCTCAACGCCAGAGCCGGGAAAGCCGAGGAGGAGCCGCAGGAGACCCCCCCAGGGCGGGTCTGGGACCCGCTGTCCTGCCTCCCTCCCCCTGGTAATCCTCAGGCTGGGACTCGAGGGGAACAAAGCCAGGAGGATCAAGTAAGACTCAGGTTCACCTGAGAGCCAGGAGCCTGCAGCCCCTACCAGGCCCCCTACAACCCTTATCCTAACCTTAGGAAGGAATCACAATGTGAGAAGGCTTAGTTTCCCCCATCCTTCTGGGGAGACCACCGGAAACCCCAAGAGGCTCCATTGAGAGAGGTCCCGCTAGGACACGGGGAAATTGGGTCTGTTAGTGCTCCCTCACTGGTACTCGGGCGAGAAATTTCAAGAAGGAAATGAAACCATTGCTAGAAGATCCCCTGGGCCTAGCGGGCAACTAGACCAATTCCTGGGACCTAATATGTGTACTTGGATTGAGCTGGTGCCCACCGTGAATATGCTGTGCCCTGGTGGTGAGAGGGGGTGACCAGGAGAGCCACTGTGTCCGTTTGGGAACGAGAACACCCACCGGGCCGGGGCGTCCTGCCAGCAGAACAGAAGTTCCCAAATATAGATCCTGGGTGGGATAATAGTAATCTAGGGGATAGAACTAAAATGCACGATCTTCGAGGGCTGATTATAAAGGGAGTTAGGGAATCGGCCCCAAGATCTCAAGATCTTACTAAGGGGTTTGGAGTCCAACAGGAGAAGGAAGAGACCCCAGCTGCATTTTCACAGAGACTCGGGGACCAGATGAGGAAGTACTCAGGACTTGGGCCCGAAGATCAGGTAGGAAAGGGTCTTTTAAAGGTCAATTCTGTAACCTAAAGTTGGCTGGATATTGCTAAGAAATTACAGAAGTTAGATGGATGGAAAGAGAAACCTAATGAGGAATTACCGAGGGGACCTCAGAAAGTGTTTGTCACAGGAGAGGACGAGGCGGAGGCAGAAAGCAAAGATTACGGGGCTGCCGTGGAGTGACTGAGAGGAGAGGCGGAGGGCCGCCTCAGAGGAGACGGGGGGGTCAGGGAGGACAGAAGAGGGGGAGACGGGGGCCCAAGGAGGGGACAGGAAATGCTCTAAATGCGGGTAGTCAGGCCACTTTAAGAGAGAGAGTGCCCTTTATGGGAAAAAGAAGAAGATGTGACTTCCCTCAGGGCATTAGATGAGGAATAGGGACGTCAGGGTTTCCCCTTAATTAAATCCTACCAGGAACCTGTGATAAAGGTAAAGGTGGGGACTAAAGAAGATATATATATATATATATGTTTTTAGTAGATACAGGGGCAGCCCGTTCTTCCTTGACCTTTCAGCCACAAGACGTGAAATTTCAGACCAAAAAGCTTTTAGGCTCTGGGGAAAAGGGGGAGGGATCCAAGTTCCTGTTTTTGAAAATACTGTAATCAGATTGGGAAGTGACATCACAGAGGGGTCATTCTTGTATGTCCCAGAAGCAGGAACTCCTCTTTTACGAAGGGATCTAATTATTCAGTTAGGCATGGGTCTAGAAATAGAGAAGGGCCCAGTAAAGGTTCTAGTGACATATCTTACAGAGGAGGAAGAAAAGAAAATAGACCCTAGAGTATAGTTTAAAGAAGGAAATAGGGGAGGTTTACAAGTTTCCCCAATAAAAGTGACCTTAAAGCAAGCAAGTGAAATAATTTCAGAAGAAAATATCCAATTCCCCTTTAAGGGAGGAAAAGTCTACAGTCAGTAATAGAAGGCCTTGTTAAGGGTGGTTTGTTGGAGCCTTGTAGGTCACCATACGGTACTCCCATCCTTCCGTGAGAAAACCTGATAGGTCATACTGGTTGGTGCAGGATCTTGGGGGTATAAATCAATTAGTCCAGACCCGACATCCTGCAGTCCCTAACCCTTATGCCCTCCAGAGCAAAATACCATATGAATATGAATGGTTTAGTGTGATAGATCTGAAGGATGCATTTTGGGCCTGTCCACTAAGTCTATATACCAGAGACCTTTTCTGCCTTTGAATGGGAGAGTCCCATAAATGGAAGAAAACAGCAATATCGTTGGACCATGTTGCCACAAGATTTCACGGAGGCCCCCAATTTGGTCAAATTTTAGAATCCATCTTAGAGGACTTTGAACCTGTGCAAGAAACACAATTTTTATTAATTATTAATCTCAGGGAAAGAAAAGACAGGAGTGTTTAAAGCCACTATAGGTTTGCTTAACTTCCTGGTGCAAAAGGGGTTGAAGGTTTCTAGAAACAAACTAGTTTATAGAAAAGGGAGTTAAATATTTAGGTCATCTTATAAGTGAAGGAAAATGAAGAATCAATCCAGGAAGAATTGCTGGAATCATAAATTACCCCAAGCCTAAAACAAAGAGGGAACTTAGAAAATTTTGGGTAATAGTAGGATATTGTAGATTATGGATTGACTCTTATGTACAAAAGCCTAGAGGCTTGTATTCAAAATTGTTAGAGGGAGAGCCAGACCCTCTCCAGTGGAGCCCCAGGGGAACTGCAAATCCTAGAAGAATTAAGGCAATCCTTAGTCTGCCTCAGTCCTGGTACTCCTGTCTTTAGAGAAGCCTATTTGTTTGTTACAGTTGAACAAGGTTCCGCTGTAGGGGTTTTGACCCACACCTGGAGTGGAGAGAAACAACTGGTGGCCTGTATGTCTAAACTATTGGACCCTGCCTCTCGTCATTGCAGCCGCGGCCTTACTGGTAGAGGAGAGCAGGAAACTAACTTTAGGAGGAACCCTCACCATCAGTACTCCTCACCAGGTTCCGGCCATACTTAATCAGTGGACTGGGCACGGGCTAACAGATTCTTGAATTTTAAGTATGAAGACATTCTACTTGAAAAAGATGACCTGATCTTAACCACAGACGCCTGCCTCAGTCCGGCCAGCTTGCCGTGTGCAGGGGAGGCTGAAGGCCCATCAGAATTGAGCCACAGTTGCACAGACCTCATAGAGCATCAGACTAAAGTCAGGCCTGATTTCAGGGAAACACCTCTAGGTGGGTGAAACTGTTTATAGATGGGTCCTCCCGGGTGATAGGGGGCAAATGACATAATGGCTATGCCATCATTGATGGAGACCAGTTATCTATCTGTGAAAAGGGGAGATTACCCAATAATTGGTCACCCCAAACCCGTGAGTTGTTTGCCCTTTATCAGGCCTTTAAACTACTTTTAGACAAGGAAGACAAGATTTACACAAACTCCAAATATGCCTTCAGTGTAGTCCATACCTTTGGAAAAATTTGGGCAGAGAGAGGTCTCTTGAACAGTAAAGGAAAGGAATTAATTCAAGGGGAATTAATCAGGGAGGTTCTGGAAAATCTTGTACTTCTAGCTGAGATATCTATAGCGCATGTGAATTGTCACCAGAAAGGAAGTTCGTATGAAGCAACAGGTAATAGGATTGCTGATGTAGCCACTAAAGAGATTGCATCTGAAGATGGAATTAGATTTTTGAACCTCACTCCAGATATCCCTAAAATTACCTTGATCTCAAAGTTTTCTGAGAAGGAGATTAAGAAGCTACAGGAGGTGGGGGTATCTCGAGATGAAAAAGGGCAGTGGACTTTACCAGATAGGAGAGAAATGATCAGCTGACCTATTACAAGAGAGCTGTGAACATGTTACACAGAGGGAGCCATTGGGGTCCCCCGGTGCTGTGTGACGCTTTGCTAAAGATTTATGGGTGTGCAAGTATTTACACCATTGCTAAACAGGTTTGAGCTGCATAATGTGCCAAAGAATTAACAAGAAGTGTATGAGAAAGCCACACCTGGAGGGAGACTCCCAGGAATAAGACCACTCCACAATATGCAAGTTGACTTTACTGAGATGCCAAACGTGGGAAAGCTTAAATATTTAGTAGTGATTGTTGACCCTGTCACTGGACAGGTAGAGGCCCACCCACTAACAACTGCAACGGTAGGATCAGTGGTAAAGGTACTTTTAGAGCGAGTAATTCCTAGGTTTGGGTTAACAGAAAATGTTGATTCAGATAATGGGAGTCATTTTACTTCAAAAGTACTACAGGGAATAATGATGGCGCTCCAGGTACAGTGGGATTTCCATACTGTTGGCATCCACCATCCTCTGGAAAGGTAGAAAGAATGAATCAGACTCTTAAGAAGCATTGAATCAAATTAATATTAGAAACAAAGTTGCCTTGGGCGAAATGTCTCCCTGTAGCACTCCTAAGGATCAGAACTGCTCCCTGAAAGGATCTGGGACTTTCTCCTTATGAATTATTATATGGGCTGCCATGTCTGGGAAGGGCAGTGGACTTGCCCACCACGGAAACAAAGGATCGGTTTCTAAGGGTGTATGTGCTGGCCATGTCTCCTACCTTGTCTTCTCACAGGCTGAAAGGACCCCTCGCCCAGACTCCCCCACCTGAGCCCTTCGCTCACT